CGCACCAGCGCAGGCTCCTCAGTGCTGGGGAAACCCCAAGCCTTCGGGGCCAGAGCCGGGCGAGCCGGGGGCCTCATCTGGCCTCCAGGCCTCCAGTACCCCACCTAAGGTGAGGACGTGCTTGTTCTGTGGGTGAGGCTGACAGAGGGTTGCCCCTGGGCCGTTCGTGCCGTGTCCCTGGCGTGTCTGGGATCAGGCAGGTCCCCGTCCCAAGACGACAGTGATGCGTGGCTGCAGGTTTACAATTGCAGCTCATGGGGACGGGGAGGGAATGGAAAAGAAGTGAAGATAAGAGCGGCCAGGCTGGGTCAGTCCACAGGCCCATCGAGCCCAGCATCCTGGCTGCCCACAGTGGCCAGTGCCCGGTGCCCCAGGTGGGAGGAACAGAACATACAATCCAGTGGCCCATCCTCTGTCCCCCATTCCTGGTTTCTGGCAAACAGGCATGGGACACGGCTCTGCCCTAGCTGGCTGGCAGCCATTGCTCGCCCTGCAGGTCGGTCTTGGTCTGGATAAACTAATGGGGGAATGAAGTGAAGGGAGGGGAGTCCGAAATCTCCCGCCAAGATCGGGTTGTGGGTCCCTCGCAAGCATCCGTGTGAATAACGAGATGAGGTTCCCGAAGGGCCTGGAGGGGGCAGGAGCTGCAGACATAGCTAGAGGAGGGACTCCAAAATAACCTGGATCGGCCATGGCTGGCCCATGCTCCTCTGGAGGAGAGACGTGGGCAGCGTCTCTGGTGTAATGTGCCGTTCTCCCTGCGTGCCCCTGCTGACGTGGAGCATTCTCTGCCCGGGCTGGGTTCTGGGACTCGTCCTTACGTGGCTTGCGGTTTGGTACGCAGAGCGCGAGCGCACCAGCCTTCCTCTGGAGCATCCTCCCATTCGAGCCCAGGCCTCAGTTGGCTAAAGGCTGCGACGCTTGATGCCCTGTTCCACTCGACCCCCCCCAAGGGAATTGGCGCAGCAGAACTCGGGGAGGGGGCGGGTTTGGAGCAGGAGGAGGGAGGCCCTGGCTCAGACTCTGCTCCTCGTGCTCGCCTGTTGTGGACGCCGTGGTGAATTCCCCCCTCTTCTCTCCTTGCAGGCGGGGGAGATGTCAAAATTGAGAACCAGAAGCTGAACTTCAAGGAGAAGGCGCAGGCGAAAGTGGGCTCTCTGGACAGCGCGGGACACGCGCCAGCAGGCGGCACGGCGAAGGTGCGTGTCGTCCGGCTCTCACGTGGCGAGGGGGGGTTCTTGAACTCAGTTCAGGTCTGTCTTGTGGCTGGGGCGGCCGTTCCTCCATTCTGTTCTACTGCAGTGCGCCGCACCCGTGTCGCAGGGATTACGGCCTGGCCTCGGACCCGTGGGAGTCGGCGTCAGCGTCAGCCCTGGGTCCCAGCGAGGCTAACGTAAGTGTTGCCAAGCTCCAGGCCGAGGAAACCTGCTGTAGAGAGAGTCCAGTGAATTTGTGTGGCTCCCCCGGGAGGGTCTGAGAAGAAGCTGAACCTTTTAGACTAGCTTGGTCATCAGGCCCATGTTGCAGGGGTGAGAGGGAAGCTTCACAGCTGACTCTCCTCCCTCCATGGTGCTGGTAAATAAAATAAATTAATGGAGATGCCTATCTCCCAGAACTGGAAGGGACCTTGAAGGTCATCAAGTCCAGTCCCCTGCCTTCATTGCAGGACCAAGTACCATCCCGGACAAATTTTTGCCCCAAATCCCTAAATGGCCTCCACAAGGATTGAACTCACAACCCTGGGTTTAGCAGGCCAATGCTCAAACCACTGAGCTATCCCTCCCCTGGTAGAACACCAGCTCGCTCAGCCCGGCAGGCGCCTGTGTCGCTTCCAAGCTGCACCGGTCACAGCAACCAGAAGCTCTTTGGAAGTCCTCTCCCACACGGAGCCGCTGAGATCCATGCGCTCTGGGCTGTGAGCAGGCATTTTATTACAGCAAGGAATCTGTCTGGTCGAATCCTCCCTGGGTACAGGTATCCTCATGCCACCCCCAGCCTGAGCCCTTCCTCTGGACAGCTGGGAGAATGAATTCTTGCGGAAGCGCTGGGAAGCTGCCTCAGTACAGCACTTCTCTGCTACGAGGACACGAGATCGTTCCAGCAGCCCTCAGCCACAGCTCTGCAAACTGCATTGGAGCGTCTGCTTTACTACAGCCACGAGGCAGCTGCCTTTTAGGGGCGGGAAACCCATCTCCGCTCAGATGAGCTGCTCCCTGGGGGTGCGCAAACACTTCAAACCACGCGCACCTGAGACCGGAGCTGGGGGAGGGGGGCGGGCGGGGAAGGGTCGGGTGGCTCACGCCAGAGGTTTAATTCTAAGCATCAAGGCAAAGGGGCTCGCTGGTAGCACTGAGGAAGGGAGGAACCCTGCGTTCCAGCACAGAGAACAAAGTCATCTCGGCCGCTGGAGAGAGGCCTCCCCTGCCAGATGCTTTCGGTTTCCGTCGTTTCAATGGTGTTCCCTGCGAGTTTGAATCTTTTTACTCAATGTTAGCGCTCTGACAATCAGACCTCAGCAGGCAGATGGCTTTAGGTAGCTCTCAAAGTAGTTGATCTCTGCGGGTGGGGCTGGGGCTGGTTTGTGCTAGGCTGGGTTGTCGGTTTCTGCTCGACAGTAATTGCACCAGTGCAGGGTGCTGGTGGCCCAGGCAGTGTCTGTCACCCCACGACCAGTTGGCGTTATTTGTCAGAGCTGGCAGTTGCTGGGGGCCCGGGGCCCAGAGCCCAGGCAGCGTGCCAAAGCCTCTCACCTGAACAGACCCTTCCAGGCCTCGTGCTCTGTTGGCAGCGTGGGAGGCTGGCGAGACTCCGTTCAGGGCTCCGCGGGTCAGGCAGTAAGTCTGAGGCACGGAACTGAAGAGGAAAGGGGCTTTTCTGCCTGTAACTGCCCTTCAGTGATGGCCGAGGGGCGCGGTGTTTGCGCTGCGTGCTGGACAGTGGCGTGGAGTTGGGCGCCTTGCGAGTGCCCGTGCGTGTTCCTTTGGCATTACCCAGGTGTCGGAATGACAGGTTCGTTCACTCGGGTTTAAATGCCAGACAGACGTGGGCCCGGGGTCTGCGAGGGCTGCACGAGGCGGGCGTGGCCTTGCAAACTGCTGCCGGATGGGCAGCCCCACGAGGCAGTGGCCCTTCCGTAATCAGTGAGGTCTCCCAGCCCCTGTGCAGATTCCCTGACAGGAAACGCAGAATCCGTTTCCCAAACGCTTTCTCTTGGCTGCGGGAGGGGCCCGTTTTCTAAGGGGCTTCCCCCCACGCGCACGGCAAGAGGAGCAGCGCGGTGGAGTGCGGTTGCTGCTCGTCTCGGGGGTGTGGCCCTGTCCGGACTGTGCCTGGCGCTCCGATACGGTACGGAGCTACGCTGCCCCTGTGAGCACAGCCTGCCCCTGGACACGTCTCTTCCCCCTCCCCCCGTCACATTGCAGTGGGGCTTTCCAGCTGATCCTGTCTTCCCGGGGAGAAGCCACAGCTACAGTTTAGCGCTGGTCACTCGTTTCCCCCACACAGCGCACTGGAAACCAGTGATCCCAAATAGGGTCACCCGTGTTACGGGGAAGGTGCCAAAGGACAGAGCTGCCCCAAATGGCCGTAGACCAGCTTCAGCCTGGATGCGGGTCGTTCTCCTGTGCGAACTTGCCTTTGGGGGTGGTAAGCAATAAGCAACAGGAACCAGTAAATTAGAGATTGTCCCGTTGTACTATGTTCAGGTCCCTTCCGTTTTATTCGTACAGGGTAACACTTGCTCGTTCTCTCAGGTGTGGTGAGATGCGGACGTGCATCCAGGCAGCGTGGCGGGCTGGCGGATTGAATCCAGCCCCGCCCCTTCTGCCTGAGACCCCGCCCCTTCCTGGAGGGGTGCCCTCCCACCCTGGCCTGGGGACCTGGCAAGTCTGTCGACCCCTCTGGTGGTGTCGTTTTTGTTCCAGTCTGCTGCTAGTGTGGCGCCGGGCGGGGATGTGCTGCGTCTCCCCTGAGAGCGGCTAGGCGTGAATACGGCGAGAGCTGGTTTGGGGCAGCGGTGCGGCTCGCTAGCCCTGAGAGACTGGCGTTGCAGGGTATCAAAGCGTGGCCCTGCCACGTGCTGCTCAGCACAGGCGGCTTAGCCGGACGTGATTGTAGCATGTCTCTGCTCCCTGGCTCACCCCCACCCCCAATCTGGGGGCGTGCTGAGGGGGCGTCTCTGGAACCCTGGTGGTGGCTTCTTCCCTCCATTTCGTCCTCACCCTTCTACTGACACGTGGCTCCCCCCCCCCCATGGTTTCCTTTTAGCCCGAGGGGAGCGAAGAGACAGCCCCTCAGAACGCAGCGGCACCGGTGCCCCAGGCAGGCGGCGACACGCGGGAGAACGGAGTCGGGCCGACCGCGCCCGCTGTGGGCGGCGACCAAAGGGAAATCCAGAGCTTTGGCACCCAGATACAAGAAACAAGTACGTGCGCCGGCCTTCCCCTCTCAGCTCTGCCGGGAGGGGAGGGGAGGGCAGGGGAGGGGCGAGCACTCGCAGCCGCCGGGGACCGCCGGCCTCACCGCTTTGCGCTTGACTCTTCCCTCAGTCGTTTGCCTGACTTTTAATGAAGAAAATTGCCTTTTATTTTCCAGGCCTCTAATGATGACATTATGGTATCATCCTCCGCCCCTTCTCTCTCCTCCCCCTGCCCCTCTCACCTGCCCCCTTGTGTCGCTGCAGATTGAATCCCACACACTGACGTTCCGTGAGGCGGCCCCGGCTCGCACGGACCACGGAGCGGACCTCGGCGTCTCCAAACCCCCCACCTTTCCGGCAGCACTTCCCCCTGGCGTAGCACGTCCGTCAGCGAGAGCCCCGGCTCCATTGGCTCCTCACCGCGGCGGCAGCCAGCTCAGCAAGGCTTGTGACTCGTCCCCCCCACCCCCCGTGTGCTTCCCAGTCGCTCAGCTTGGACCCCTTAACCCAGCACCTGGCTTTGGGGGGAAGGGCCAGCTTCCCTTTCGGGGGTGCTGTCTGCCACCGGGGCCGCGTAGCGGTTCATCCGCCCAGGAATCGTTTCCGCGTGACAGGCCCAGGCGGGTCTCAGGCTCTGGTGACCCCGTGTTGAGCAGAAGGGCCGCCCTTTCCTCTCTCACCTCAACGCTTCTCGCTCGCCCAGGCCACCGGCGCGTCTCGACGTCTGTCTTCGGGGCAGGTCTCCAGCCCCCACGTGCGTAAAGCCTCTGGGAAGGGCACCGAGGCTCGGTCTGTGGCCGCGTTTGGGCAGACGAGGTGGGGCTGCGGGTGGCCAAAGCCAGGCCGGAGTTAAAGGGGATAAGCGGTGATCTTCCTCTTTCGTAGCGTTCTCTCCCGCTGCTTCAGTTTCTGCTGTTCCTATGGAAGGATTATCTATATTATACACACTCATTAGGCTGTTTTCAATGTTGACTTTAACCGTTATATTTTTTTTGTGATGAAGTGTTGCCGATGATTTATTGTGCCCTGAACCCAGGCTAAGTTTCCTTTTCTCTCTTTCATTAGCTGCTGCTGCCGTGCTGGCTTCTTATCGACATATCCAGCAATTGTAACTCTTGTTTTTCTTTGTGTTGGTTTTTTTTTAATATTTTAAAATGATGGAGCAAATTCCTGGGATTAAGCCATGGCTGAAAGGAACGGCGTAAGAATGTGCTAAAAAATCTCTTGCTGTAACTTCAACTAAGCTTTGTATTGACTGCAACAAGAGATGCTTAGAGACCTTCTGGAGGGGAATAACCAAGCCCTGCGATGCCCTGGCACCTTTGTCGTTGCTTCTGTTGGCTTAACAAAGGGCGCCAAGTGTATTTATTAACTCGAATAGCCACAGGCCGTGTGGTGGAGGTGATGGTGATTTTATTTGTATTGTTTGGCCAGGGTGTTCTGCCAGGGAGAAATGCAGGAGGCTGCTTCAAACAGTGTGTGGCAGGTTAATGCAGGGTGCGTTGTCTGATGCAAGGGACTCAGTGTGATGTGTGTTGGTTTTAACCAAAAGGCCAATGTAGGGGTAACCGGATTACCTGGCTACATGCAGTCTGGTGAGAGGCGAGGATGGGAAAGGCCGTCTCCCATCCGGGGTGCCAGAGAGGGAGACCGGAAAGTCTGTGGAAGGTCGGGGGGAGCAGAGAAGGCGGGCTTGCAATACGAAGGAGTCACACCCGGGTTCGCCCGGAGAGCACACGCCATTACGGTCTGAGCTCCGCTTTTATGTTGCAAACGACACTAAAGAAACAAAATGTCCATCAACAGAATCCATGTTCTCGACTCATCCGACTAACTCACGCAAAAAGCATAACAAAGCACAGGGATCAAAGTGAACTGAGGACAGACCCTGCTGAGGGGCTGGCCTGTCTGAAGTAGGGGGGGTGGAGAGGGCCCACAGCTTCCGTTGCTTGTGGGACTATTCTCTTTGGGAAGCTGACAAGGATACGATAACCCAGAATCTGTATTTACACACAAAGATTCTTATTGCACTTGTATTTTTTATATTAAAGTTTGCATGATTTCTAATAAAATGGCATTAAAATGTACTAGTGTGCATCCAAGTGGTCTGCTAGTCTCCGAAGTGCTTTTTCCTCTAAATACAAAATTGAATAAACAATGCAGATTTGCACCTAACCGGGGCTGTGATATATACCCTGTTCTCTCCCCAAAACTCCCCGTTCCCGTTCCCCGTCCCCCATCCCCCCGCCTTTCCTCGCCAGCTCATGACACGCACGCTCTACCCCTAGGGCCAGGGAGAAGTTGCTGGGCCCGTCAGGTTCTCTGGGCTTGAAAGTTTCCCGTAATTGCTTTCATCTCTCACTGCTTGCGTTGGGGGCCCACCCCAAGGGGGTTGCTAGTCTCAGGCCCTCTTTTCCCTCTCCTCCAACATTTACCTCCACCTGGAAAGAGGGACGCTGGAGACATAGGGCTGAGGCTGCCCCACAGGTGGCTAGAAGTGGCCAACCCATCGATTGACAGTTTCCTCCCAGTGGGGTGGGTTAAGAGGTGGCCCAGCAGCCCGTGCTGTCCCGCTACCTCAGGGAGGGAACGGAACCTGTGTGGCGCCAAGTCTCCCCTCAGGGCAAGAGGGCAGAACGGAAACACCGTGGCAGCTGTGCTGGTTCTGCAGGTGCTGGCTCAGATCTTTCTTCATGTTCCTAAAGACCCATCGCCTGCATGTCGCCCTCTCGGTATATATCACGGCCCCTTCTCTGAGGCTTCCTCCGTTTGGTTACTAAATTCGAAACCCGGGCGAGATCTGTCAGTCTGTGAGGTGGGGTCGAGCGGGCAGGGGGCCTCGGGGTGGGGGAGGTGCTGTTCAGAGGGACAACGAATCCCCTGGACAGGAGACGGCACAGACTTTGCTTCCCAGGGCAGCGCTGGACGGGGGCTCGGCCATAGGAGAGCTGAGGGCTGCACTGGCTGGCGTGTTTGTGCCGTCGGGTGGGCGCACGTCACCCCGGGACGCAGTCTCTCCATCCCCGCTGGCCTGGGGAGCCCCAGCCTTGGAACACCAGAGGCCGGGAATCGGAAGTCAGGCGTGGGACTCCCTTGCGGGCCCCGGCGTGGAGAAACGTGCGCTACTGAGGGCGGTACCGGGGGGGCCGGCTGATCGACCCCAGCCACCTGCTCCACACCCCTGTGGCCAGTGCGTGGTTGTTTTCTTCCGACTGGCTTGCACGCGGCAACGTCCCGTTCTCGGGGCCCTTGGGAGAGGAAAGCCGTTGAGGCAGGGTGTGGGACAGTCCTTTGGGCTGGCGGCAGCAAGCCGCGAGTGTTTTCATTTGGGGCCGCGGCGGGAAGGCGGACAGCAACACGGCACTTTATGTTCTGAGATTGCAAGAGAACCCAGAGTGAACGGTTCAGCCCCCCCCGCCCCTCCCGATTTGCTTTTATCCGGTGCCGTGGCCGGCGGGTTAGCTCACGCAGCTGCGGAAGGCAGGCCGGTCGCTACGTGTGCACAAACCATCCCACATGCTCACAGGGCTGCCAGCGCTCTGCTTCTGTGCCACTTTTCGCTAACTCTTGTGCCTGTGTGTAGGTGACTTAAACTAGCTCCAGAGACACCAGCTTGGGTTCCTTAGGACAGTTTCAGTTTTACCAGGGGATTTGTATTTTATTTTATTGTAAAGAAACAGCTGTAAATATTGCTAGCCGGGAACTGGTTCTCCGCGTGTGGTGGAAACGGCTCTGGTTCCCTGCATGGAGGGATGGGCGCAAGCGCTGAATTGTGCTGAGACGCCAGGGCCGTTCTGCAGCAGGTTGGGAAATACCTGAGAGGGGCAGGAAATGCCGTTCGTCCTGGTTTGCCTTGAAATATTTGGGACGCGGACCCACTGGCTTCATGCCTGAGCCATCGCCCTTCGCTGCTCAAAGCCGCTTCCCTTGCGGTCCGGCGCGGACGCCAGTGGGAGCAGGCCGGGCCCCTGTGCAGGGCCCAGCTTCTGGGCAGCGGGGATTGCACTGCGCGAAGGGGCCAGAGGTTCTTTCTTCAGCTGCATCGTCTCCAGTTGGCGCATGTAGCAAGAGGCTTCTCGTGAGCTGGGCCTCTCTCTCCGGGGTGGAGGGATGCCGGCTGGGTGGGCTTCAACCAGCTGGGGATTGGGGAGGGTTGATCCTAGGCCCCTGTAGTAAGTCAATTCCCTGTTGAACCATGGAGTCCAAATTACACGGGAGACTTGAATATAAAGGTTCCTGGCTTGAGACGCCCTCGCAGACCTAGTGAGTTCCTCTGGGTTCCCAGGAATCTGCAAGCCGCTGGCATAACCGGGGGGCCAGATGGGGTGGGGGAGGGGTGTTCCTTGGCACCCCCCACCTGCTAAGCCCATCTGACAGGAAACCGTGGGCGACCATGGACTTGTGCGGGGAGGGGCAGGAAAGCTGCAGGCAGGATGGGAAGGGCTGGAAAGGGGGATCCACCCTGCTAGCAAGAGCGGCTCCCGTGCAGCCAGGGCAGGGTGCTGGGGCCTGGCACCTCTCTGGGCATGTGGCTAATACTGGGCGTGGCTGCTGCCGGCAGAGGGGAGGTTAACAGGCTCTTTGGGAAGCGACTCCTGCAGGAGCTTGGCAGTTGCTGTTCAGTGGCGACTCGGTTCCACCGTCCCCCCTTGGGCTTCCTAACCACCCAGCCTGCCAGGCCAAGCTGGACTCTGGGCCACGCCGGCAGGAGGCTGCGGCTGCGTTGCCCTTCTCTGTCTCAGGGCTGCGTCTGTTCTGCTGGGCAGCACGTGGCCCCCGAGGCCAGGCGACAGCCAGAACCCGCCACCTCTTGTCCGTGGCCCCTACCGCTCATTGAGTGTAGCGCGCTGTGTGCGAATGGGGCCCTAGACTAGCACCCGGGGGTGTGGTGTCCTCTTCCTCGGGCGTTGCAACGCGGCTAGTCCAGAACTGCCAAGGGGGCCCAGGCTCTACCACGGGATGGACGAAGGTGAGAAAAGGCCCGGACTTCTTTAGCCTCGGGCCGTTTCCTGTAGTGCTCTCGCTGGGCTGCCGTGCTAAAGTTCGGGGGGAGCCGCCACTGGTTAGTTGGCTAGAGAACAGTGTGGTCTCTGGGGGGAAGAAACGCCCTTCTGCCCCTGCCTGTGCTGTGCCGTGGCCGCGTCGGTCCCAGGGTATGACACAAGGCGGGGGAGAGTTCACCTCTTTATTGGAACATCTGCTGCGGGGAGACGCTTTCGAGCAATGCGGAGCACAAGGGTGAGCTCTGGCCACCAGAACAGATGAGACCATCTCCACTGTGTGGCTCTGCCCCAAGGCACTCTGGGGCGTGGGGGGGGAGGGGGAGATACGCGGGAAGATTCCACGCTTCCCACGGGAGTCTGGTGCACAGAGACATGTCGAGCTAGGGCTGTGTAAGGCATCCTCCGCCTAACCACAGTGCATTCTCCTTCTCACGCCTCGGTCAGTGTAAGGTCAGTCGAGTCTCCTTAATTCCAGCCCTCTGCTGACTTCCCTTACTGGCACTCGGTATTGCCGGGAGGCTCAGTGGTCCCTTAACATAGGTACATGGTGGACAAGCCATAAGTGGGAGAGGGGGTGGGGTTGAGAGGCAAGTTATAATTCAAGCACAGGGCTAGGAGCAAGGAACTCGAGTTCTAATCCTGGCTTTGATGTTGTCTCCCTCTGTGGTCTTGGGAAGTCGCATAAAACTCTCGGGCTCAGTTTTCCTCATCTGCAAAATGGGGGTAATAATAGTTACCTCACACAGGTGCTGTGAGGTGTGATTAGTATGTGTAAGGTGCTCTCTGAGGGTCAAGTATTATCATTTTTGTGTTGTAGGAATATTATACAGAGGCGCCTTCTGTGTCCCGTGAGACGCACCGTAATGAGCGAGGAGCGCACGGAGCTGTCCTGTTTTGGCAGTGACTGTGCAGCCAATTGTTGCTGTAATGTTGAGTGATACAAATGTTCCTATAATCTAGAGGGTGCTGATGGGGGGAGGGGAAGGGCAGATTTTTGCATGGATGTAAAGGCCTCAGGGGAGGAGGTAGAATGCCGGAGGGGGAGAGCAAGCGAGCCCCTCGTATGGCCAGCAGGGAGCGAATTCATACTGTTTACTTCTGCCTTTTTCACCCTCCTCTTCGAGTGTACAAGGCCGGTGTCTCCATTAGTAACATTTCCTGATTTGACGTTGTGATTCTTACTATTGTAAAGGATTGAAATAAAGCTTCTAGATGTTCAACCTGGACTCCAGCGTGAATTTGCATTTGTGGGGTCTGAGAATGTTCTGGGAAACGAACCCGGTTTGGACGGGGGGGTTAACCTGGACAGAGGTGGGAGCCGGGTACATTCTCTCTCTGGCCGGACCACCCCAGGGAACTGAGCGGAGTTAATAGCGCTTAGATCCGAGTGCTGATGGGGCACTATAGAGGGGCTGTCACGTTTCCTGCGGGGTCACTGGTGCTGCTTCGTTTCCGCTACCAGGCACGGGGAGGAAATGCAAAGCAGAGCTGCCCACTGGAACCTAAGGAAGTTGAGTTTCATCTCCTGGCTGACGCAGTGATGTTGGCAAGTCGCTCACTGTTTCCCGATGCGTAAAAGGGGGTAAATCTTGCTCCCTGAGCAGGCTGTAAAACACAAAGCTCCATGACAGGCCCTCCAGCCCGGGCGCGGAGCAGCAGCTCACAGCCAGGAAGCATAAATCGAGCTGAGGCCGAACTTGGGTGGGGCTGTTCTTTTTAGACACTCAGCCAGGTGTCTCCTGCAGCTGGATCCCAAATGAAACTTCTTCAGGTCCCTGCACTTGGTTCCTCTCATTTCTGTCCCTTTATCAGATTGATTCCCTGTGCTGCAGGGAAACGGCTGCTCTTCATTCTGCCCTAATGGCGTCTTTCCTCTTCCTCTCCTGAGGCCTAATGCAAACTGCTGCCTGCCTCTAGGGGTTCCCCCTTCAGTACCACACCACTGCCTGTGGGCTTGGGCTGGCCTACCAGTGCCTGGACTCATTTGGCTTTTATTCTTCCCTGGGGCGAGTGGAGCCAGGACAGGCTATTAGCCAGTTTCATGGGCTGAGTAATGCTCCCACAGGGCACCAAGTCCCCTAAGCCACCACGGGCTCCTTCCAGGCAACAAATGGAATGACAGAGCCTCAACGCAGGGCTGGCAGAGGTCACAGGATAAGGCCCTGAATGCAGTAAGATCACTCTCGTCTCTACCCCAAAGCAAGCTGCTTCTGAGGCCTAGGGTGTTCTGGGTGGGATGTGCTCCGGGTGCAGCCATGCGGCCGGTGGTTCCAGCCTGATCAGTGCAGTTCTAGGGTGGAAAGACAACAGGTCACTTCCCTCCAGTCGGTGCCCTATTCAGGTGCAGTGGGGGTGGGGGGTTCAGTATCCTCCTGTAATTTGAGGCATTGGCTGGCTGCAGCCTGGGGTACACAGGGCATCAGAGTAGATGAGGTGGGTCCCTTCTGGGCTTACATTCTGAGTGACTGTGCTTGCCTCCCTCGTTTCCTGTTGTCACACATCATACAGCCTCAGCCCTGGTTTTACCATTTTCAGCTGAGCGGCTCCACCTGGGCCCCCCAGGTGCAGAGGAGGAAATAAGGCAACTGTGGAATTAACTCAAACATGTAGAAGCTGCACCTGAGGACTAGGAGGCTAAAGAACAAGGTGGAGTCAAGCAGCAGCCGGCAGTGGACTGAGTCTGCGCTTGCTCCTTGGGGCTACATGAGTGTTCCTGCTCGGTGAGGCTGGAGAGTGAGGGCCCAAGGAAATGTTTTCAGTCCTAGCCAGGAAGTTTCTTGACTGGCCAGAGTGTTGCTGACTGGTGCCTGTTGTCTCCACCAACAAACTGACCACTTACACAGTGAGTGGCTGAATGCCTGCACACTTAACTGTACAGGGCAGGGCCAGCTAAAGGCCCCCGGCTTGGTGTAGTGCTGCGAAATCCCAGCAGGTCCCCTCTGAGCAGAATATGGAGGCCCAGTGATGAGCCAGTCGTGAGGGGCAACCTCTATTGAAGTTCCCAGGCTCCCTTCAGACTCCAGGCTCAGCACAAGGGCAGCGTTGTCCCCTTCCTCCCACCAATGCACATGCTAAAAGCAGGGTGCAGCTGGGACCCCCATCGGCCTGTGCGGTTGCAGCCTGGAGTGAGAGACACAAGGCCACAGCTTTCCACGCCCCGGTTTGGTGGTTAAGAAAGGACAGAACCGGTTACTACTCTATCCCTTTTTATTGTCTTTAAATCTAGGTTGTAAAAAGATCCAGTATCACATAACAGCCACTGAAGTATCCCAACATCACACTAGTTCTCAACCATTTAGACAATAGCTTAGTTTTGTTGTACCTGCTGGGAGGGAAAAACCATACTGTGTATTGTACAGGCTGAAAGTAAAACACCGGTTAAATTATTATGACCACCTCAAGCAAGTGAAATGGAGATGAAAAGTCTGAGCGCAGGCTGCCTCGGGGAGCCCCCCCCCCCCCCCTGATGCCAACGTGAACCCCCCTCCTGTAACTGAGCCCAGAGTTTTCCTAGCCTTGGCCCCTCTGCTTTTGCCCCCAGATATTCCTCAACAGCAGCCACAACACTTCAGTTCCAGTGGCAAGGGGCTGCTCCATGCCTTTGCTATAGGCCAGGCAAGCCATGGGCTCTGCCCTGGGAAGCCGGCACCAGCTCTTAGTGGAAGTACATAAAAGGCTCATTACCAGCCCCACTCGAATGGGAACTGGGGCCCCATTACAGTGCCAGGGCCCCGAAACACGCACTGGGCAGGTGAGGAACGTCCCCCCTTCCAGTGCCCCTGCCGGCTGCAACAAGGGGCGGGTTCGTCTCTTTCAGTTACAAAGAGCAGTAGAAATAAAAAACCACAAGTCCAGTGGCCCCGGGACCGTCCACGATGGGCAACGCGATACAGAACTTGCCCCTGGCCCATCTACCAGCGACTGCCAGACACCGCTCCGGTGTAGTCCCCCCTCCAGCCATTAGTGAATTCGTCCTCACAACAGCCCTGTGAGGTAGGTTGCTAGCATTAGGGAACTGAGGCAGAGCTGGGGGGGGAATCTCTTGCCTCAGGTGGTTGTGCGTTAGTCACAGAACCCTCGGCCTGTGCTACTCTGGGTCCCAGTTCATAGGGAACAGCATCACTCAGAGATGGGCTGCCCGATCGAGCGGTACCCGCACCCGTTTCAGGGGCTGCCCAGGGTACAGGGAGAACAAGACATGTAAAAAATAAAAAGCAAAGGACAGAAATACAGGCAGCTAGAAACTACACGACATCTCGCGCGCCGCGCGGCCAACCGCCTCTGGCTGCTCCAGGCTCAGACGCCCGCTGCAGGAATGTCAGGTCCAGGGCGTGATCTCCTCTTGCCTCCACGGACGGGTCTCGGCTCGCCGGGCAGGCCCAGCCGTGAGCTTAAGTCCAGCTTCCTCCTGAGCGCAGCTCTCGGGGCCAGGGGAGCCGCCAGGGGCACGCCCTGTGGGGTGCAGAGGGGCGAGTGCTTTCCAGTCCCACGACCTTCGGCTCAGAGTGGTGGCTTTCCCTTGCGCGTTGGGGTGTCCGCACTGGGGTCCGTTCTCTGGGCCGCCGCCAGGCCCATGCCGGTTCCGCCCACACGATGCCCATGCACGGCGCCACCAGCCGGAGGGTCTGACCACACTGATCTTCTAGGATGGAGAGAGATGACTTCACAAGGGATAAATAGAACTTTTATTTAAATAAACATTTGTGAACATCTTTATACAAATTACAAGTCCCCACGCTCACTCCTCCGCCGGCCTAGGCGCCAAAGCTGCCAGGAGGTCCCTTGAGCAGATCCACCAGGATGTCGAGCAGCTGGCTGTGCTGATGGTGCAGGTCCCCCGGGATCGCAGACATCTCAGAGCACAGGCAGGTCTCCACCATCTTGGAGAGCGACACGCGGAAGTCACGCAGGAGGCGGATCGTGTAGGAGTCTCCTTCCAGCACCAGGAGGTCGCTGTCGGTCAGAGAGCTGGGGGGGGAAGAGGGGAGGGGGAAAGGAGCAGTGAGTGCAGCCAACTGCCCCCTGCCCCTGGCTTGCCAAAGCAGATCTCGCGCTCTGGCAGGCAAGAGCCCAGCAGGCAAAGGGAGCCAGGGCGCAGCCCCTCACTCGCTCCAGGCCCCTTGGAGGGGGCTGGGAAAGGCCCATGAACCGGAGGTCACATCCCCTGGGTCGTTGCGTCTGGGCCTGCGGCGGCTCTGACATCTCAAGCGAGAAACCTGCATCTCCCAGGGGAGGAGAACCCGGGGCTCAGCTCCGGCCCCCAGCCACACCAGCAAGCGCCGGACGCCAGTCGGCCCCCTGGCACAGGGAGGAACCAGGCCCCGCTCCCGGGACATGAGATTTCACAAGCTCCTTCGCACCCTGCCTGGCTCTGGCAGCCCTAGGCCCGCGGGAGGGGAACGGTCCGAAAGCCGGAGTGTATCCAGCCCATCAGCCCAAAGCAAGGGCTGACCACATGGCAGGACATGGGGCTGGGCCAGGCAGGCCTGTGTATAAGTAACCCCGCCTCCGTGGCACCTGAAGGGTTAAGTGGAGGCGCTAATGGGGCAAGTGCCCCGCCCGACAGATGCCTCAGTTCAGGCCCCTTTCCCGCGGCCGGCAAGAACGAGGGAGGTCAGAGCCCGTTCTGTTTGATGAAACGGGCAGGCCAGGGCAGTGGGGCTGGGAGCCGGCAGCCCTTCCCTGCCCCCC